GGAACCTGGTGAATGCCGCTCTCATGAACAAAACAATTATCTCCAACTATGGGTTTATGTGGTTGAACATACAAACCGGTATATTCTTGAACCTGCTCAAGAATTTACATCATATTATTATAAAGGCCCAAAAAAACCTAGCATGATCGATATTTATTTATGTATACATAAAAATGTTACCATCTTGCTAGTAGCCATAATTTGGCGTGTGTCTATTCTTGTGTAAGCACCGTCCATCAGATATCCTCCTCGACATTTCAAAGCCATCACGACCTACATACCAAAAGAAAAATTCATGTTGACGATGATGAATTGATGATGGTGATCATCGTGGTTTTTAACAAAAAAAAAAAAGATGATCATCATTATGGTAATGATCATGATGACGGTGATCTTACCTCTTCAAGCGGCGCATTGCCACTTCTTTCACCTATTCCATTTACTGTTACTTCGACTTGTCTTGCTCCCGAACATATAGCCTGTTAGGATTCCATATCGAAAAAATTAAGGAACCAACACTAATACAACATGATCCCTATGCTCTTAGCAAACCTAACACTACTGTATATAAATGAAGAAAAAGGGAGTGTTGATTGAGTACGGAGAGCGTATTGGCGGTAGCAACACCAAGGTCGTTGTGACAATGAACGGCGAAGACAGCATCATCAGCTCCAGGAGTGTTTGCTATGACATAGTTCACAAGTTCTCCGAATTCAGGCGGCATGTTGATCCCTACAGTGTCCGCGAATCCAACCGTGGTTGCACCCGCTTTTATCCCTTCTCCTAGAATCTTGCACATAAAATCCTTATCCGTCCTGCTCAATATTAATACACCAGTTAGAATTTTGTATGTATATATGACATGATCAACAAATATGTAAAGGTCATTATATAGTTCCATAACCCTATCTAGCAACAGTTATCCTTCAATTTTATGATGATTATTTCACTAAGACCACCATTAGTTGGTTGTAAAAGAAGACATTTAAATAAATAAAAAC